AACCATAGATTTGGGTTTCAAAATATACCCGTTTTCAGTACATTTTTCGTTCAATGTTTGAAAAAAATTTTTATAAGTGTTAGTAGATTTATTTTTCAATAAACCAAACACCAATGGTATATAGTGCCCGTTAAAATATCCATGAACACTAAATAGTTGAAGGAAGTGTTTGGCACAATACTCAAATGTACCATCTACATATAACATTTCTGATTTACACAATATTTCTAAATTTGATTTACAACATATGATTACGAGTTAACTATTAAAATCATTATACAGAAGCATATCCTCTCCTTTCGAGCTTTTGTATTGCATAGAGTTTAAAGCTTCCTGAACAGATTGAGTTGAAATTGGTAATGGAGGTAGTAACTTTCTTCTTGCATTATACATATTTCTTTTAATATATTTAACATCACTAACCTTGATTAAGCTCGTATCTTGAACTGTTGCTATGCTATGAAGTATTTTCGCTGGTCTTTCACAGATATCTTCGGTTGCTTTTCGCTTTGCACTAGCGGACACAATTTGTCGTTGTAATTTTAATAAATCTATTTTATGACGGTGTTCCACATTTTTTTCAGTTATTGTCATATTATTTTTTTCTCCAACAGTTTTCAAAAATGCATTACACGTTTTTACAGCACATCGCCACTTTGTTTCGCCCGAAGACAACTCGCGTTTTAATTTCGAAAATTTAAATGTTTGGTATATTATAACGTCGTTTTCTTTCTGGCTTTCAGTATGTATAATATCCATGTTTAACTGTTGCGTGCAAACGGCTTACTAAAATATTACCTATACGGGCTGTACGTAAAGTCGTTGTATACGCGTAAAGGCATTGATATCGCTAATATCATATCGATTATAGCGATAAACGTTCGGCTTATCCACCAATAAATGAACAACAGTATTTTTAAAATACACATAATAGGTAACGATGAATTCAAGATAGTAGATACTATGGGCGCAATTTACTATACCCATTTTAGACCCCGAAAAATCCCGGGCGCAATTTACTATAGTATTTTTACTACCTATTTAATGTGGGCGCAATTTACAAACGCCCGAAAATTATGTTCTTCTCTTTAACGATTCGTTAAAACCTAAACACCATTTCCTTGTACACTACCCCTCAATTATAAGACAATCAGGTCCTCCACGACATTTCTGGTGTTTTAGGTTTGAGGCAAAACACAGAGAGTTAAAAACATATGCTCGTGTAACTTCCTCTCGAAAAAATGTGACGCTTTCTATAACTAAAAAATGTCAGCTTAAGTTTTTTAATTTTTTGATGCACCCTTTTAATTCAGTTATAATTTGAGAAGATAAATATAAACAAATTCCTAATGAAGCTGTTGAACATGAAATTCATACAAAAATGAATTTAAGACCAATTGATTATTCTATGTATAGTGAAGTTCAGTATAAAGGCACTACTTACAAAACAAAATTGTATTTAAGTAGATTTACAAATAATGCAATGTTTATTTTTGAAATCAAAGCAGTTCTTATTACAAATAATAGCCAAATATTTAAATTAGCAAAGCAAATTATCTTGAACGATTTTTCTCTACATTACCAGGCTTATGAAGTAGGTACCAGATGAATTGCAAATAATTGATGAATTTACATTAGTTAATATTAATGAATTTAGTGGACCCCCGATTAATATTACTAAAACATCTACATTAAAGACTTTTGTTCGCTTAAAAGAATTTTTTTAATTTGTATGTTTATATAAATGCCTAAAAAAATGTTTTATGTTTAACCCTTTTTTAGACTTTTTGTATATCAGATTACAATATGATAATTAAGTAATAAAAGAACTAGCATTCAAATTATGTACAGTAGATTATAGGACTTAAATTTTGTTAATGTGAGTTGTAGCACATTGACTCCAGCCTGGGACGCCATGAAAATACCCCAGATATATTAAAAACTTTTTTTTTAAATAAGATGACTAACGAAGGGTTGTGTACCCTGCTTAATTTACTTTTTATTTACTATAGTTATTATTATTTTTATATTGTATAATTTATTGTATTCTTTTTGTAGTTTCTCTAAACAAAATTATTTATTAATTGGTAGACATAGTTAAAATAAAAATTCAATGGAGCAGAATTGTGTTTCTGAAAATATTTTCAATGCTTTTAAATCTGACTACCCTTGAGAAGATGAATATGTTTTATCAATCTATTAATAATCAATCAAACATACATGTAAGAAATTTCATAAGCTATGTTTTTAATCTACTTACACAATATTATGAAATTTTATAGGCCGATGTTGATTCAACTAGATATAATGTACCATCAGATAAGGATACTTATAATACAAATGTGCGATCCAACAATGCACAATTACAAAGTTGTAACTTGGAATGTATTCTTAGAGTATTCTTAGGCAAGTATTTTAAAATTCTTAATTTAGTTTACTTTTACACGAAAAAGTACCTAACATTATCTTCTAATATTTATACTAAATATTTAAATAACAAAGTCTAATCAGTTTTGTTTTCATTTTTTTTATGTTGCAGATGAGTGTATTGATGTTGAAGCCCTAAAGTATATAAAATCTAGGCACATAGATAAACTTTTGTTGAATCAACCATTAGGGATATTGATTAAATTTGAACATCATGTACAAACATGGCAAAGATCATTAGAAGATAAACCATTGAGTAGAATAGATAGTACTTTAGTTTCTGGTGTTCAGAATCCACAAACGTCATTACAAGACACACCATTAAATGGTATAGATACTACTATAGTTTCTGGAGTTCAGAATCCGAAAACTATATTAAAAGACAAACCATTTAGTGGAATAGACAGTATTTTAGTTTCTGGAGTTCAAATGCATACCATTTTAGCCAATTCTACCAGAGGAAAATTTTTAATTGATTATTACAACATTCACAAGGAATTGAATGATACCATTAGAGGAAACTTGGTTGGTCCTATAATCCATGATATTATTTCAAATGATGTACCTATGTCAATTAGCTTAGCTGAAAGTGTTACTGAACAGATAGTAGCTATGTTTCCTTCAGAGATTAAGGCAAGTGTACAAATATAACATACAATTATACTAAATATATTTTTTAAATAATTTATTGTTTGATATTAGGATATTTACTTCCTGCGTCATGGGAATAACAAGGCACCAAGAGGAAAATTGTATGCTACATTTTACAATTGTATGCGTGCACTTAAATCCAGTGGGCTAAAAACAAATCCTGTTAAAAGTAATAATTCTGCCCATAATGAAACATTCACAAAAAGAAATGATTCATTTGGTAAATAAACATACATTAAATTGTAATAATTAAAAAATAACAGGAGTGTTGCAATAAAATTAATGACACAACTTATATAATAATAACTATTTTGGTAATTTCATATTTATTTTTTTGAATTTATCTGTTCAATAGTAGTAGAAACTGACGTCGGTTATTTGTTGGACATAATAAAATATGATAATGAAATTTCATTTCCAAATTTACTAGAACATTGGTCTGCTACTATGCAGTACAGGCTAAATAAAATAAAAGAGGCTAATTCAACTTTAGAAATATTAGAAGAATGGACAAATTATTCTATACCATTAGGGTATAAACTTGTAAGTTAAATGTTATATTTATTAAATATATTAAACATTTAAAGACCATTTAAATTTATGAAATAGGTTGATATTGATTTCCATGGACTGTATCAGTCATCTACCATTCCAGATTTATGTGAAGAATTCATAAAATCGTACGATAATATTCTACAAATAGTAGAATAATATATAAAAGATAAAGAAGGTAAATTGTTACTTAAAGAACTCAAAACAAACAATGATCTTGCACAAAGTAATATGAATAATCAATTTTATTATAAATCATGCCAAAAATTAACTCAAACCGTGAACTGTTATTTAGATGGTAAAGACTGTACACTTTTACACCTACTAAGTTCTTTATTTGTGCCAACATCACGTAAGGTAACCAAAGATCATAATGGAAAGAACAATGTGACAAAATATTTCATAAAGGATTCACAAAAGAGTTTTATTACTTTTCATGATTCAATCACTGAATCTGAAAATTATTTAGAAAATAAAAAAAATAAAAAAATGCCAATACAGCCTTTTATCATAGTAATTGGTACACCACTAAAACCAAATCAAATTTTAGTCTACTTTTATACAATAAAATATAAGGTTTTCAATATTACACGTGCAATCGATATATGTTTTAAGCTTTTTAATTTGTTTAATTTACAATATCCCCTGCAGTCATGTGCAGTTTGGATGTTCATACAAACATTTTATTATAATATATCTACTAAATATGATACACCACACCAATTGGTTACTCAAGTGTTACACTGTTTGAAGAAAATAAAATAGTAAATATGAAATAATTATGAAATCTAAGATATTAAGATATTTTTGTCCATAATTTTATTACATTCAATTTATGTATGTAAAAAGTAAATACTAAAGTGCTATATAATTTTGTTGATAGCTCTTTTTATTAAATTTCTTAAGTAGTTGTTTATAGTTTTTCTTGTATGAAATTGCTTTAGTTTTTTCTTTAAACTAATTTAATAATTTCAATGTTTTCATACAAATTCAAAAATATTAAGTTATTTTGTATACTATTTTTTAATATAAGAAAGTTATTCATCATATACAGCCAAATTTATAGATGATACTAAGATATTACTTATATTCAACTTTGCTAAGTAAATATTTTTCACTAACTCACAAGTGGTATTTATAAAGGGTACTAAGTTATTTTTTAGCTAAGATTTTTCTAAGAATATTTCAAGTAAAAATATTTCTTAAAAGCAAAATGTTCGGGAGATTATATATAATTTTATTGTTATCAGCATAATTAATATTTTATTGCCATAGATTAGCTGTGTTATCTGTGATAATAATATCAAATATTTCTAATACGATTTCTTATTAATTACATTAGTTGCTTTTATAATTAATTTAGTTATTTAATGTTTTTTTAAGTAATTAGTGAGTAGTCTATAAAAATGAATTCTGATAGCAACACGTTAAAAAAATCAAAAGCTTTTATTCATGAAGAAATAGAGTTACTCCAAGATTTGGTTTTAAAATACCAAGAAGTTTTATTGAAAAAAAAAAGTGATTCTTATACAGTAGCTACAAAGCAAAAAATATGGAAGAAAATCGAAGTGGAATTTAATGCTCAAGCACTGTTTACAAATGTAAGTACCTAATTAAAATTAATTCTAAGTTTGATATGTTAATATTTTATTTTATTATTTTATTTTATTTTTTTTAAATTTATTTAGCGTACAGCTGATCAATTAAAGAAAAGGTGGGACAATATGTTGCAACACCGAAAGAAAATGTTAACGGAAGAGAAACAAGAGAGAAGGAAAACTGGAGGAGGCACTACAAAAGTTATTACCGAACAATCTGAAATTGATATTTTATTAGATAAAAATATTGATATTGCGCTTGAGTCGGTCCCAGATTCTGATAGTTTTCCTATACACATGACATCACCAGAACTTTTTTATAATGAAAATAATGAAGTGACAAATACAGTAGATAATAATTTCATAGGTATTATAAATTATTATTATTATTAGGTGCATTAGATTCACTAGTATCCGCTAGTATCAAATAATTATTAAAATAATTTTTAGATGAAACTATTGAAGAAAAAGAAACAACTATTGAGGCATTCACATTCAAATCAAAGCCAAAGCAAACAAAACAATTTAAAAAATCAGGGTAGTAGAGAATTTTAATTAAATTATGTTTCATTTCATATCAAACTTATAAGAGTATTACATTAATGTATAAAAAAATCTTGTTGAAAAAAAAGTAGTCAATTTAATAAAAACCCAAGTAGGTACAACAATTTACTTATGAAATAATGATCTCTATTGGTTTAGATGATTTTTCAATTAAAAAAGTCAGTTATCTGGAGTCAGAATCTGCACTGCGAATAAAGAGATTAAATAATTTAATAAAACAAGAGACTGAGTTATTTGAGTTAGAAAAAAAAGAAAAACATCTTAAAATAAAATTAGTAGAGAAGCAAATTGAAAAAATGGAGTATGACATGAATAAAATTAATTAGCAATAGAATATATATTAAATTATTGTTAATCAAGTCCATATTTTATCCTATTGTACCCAATTGGTTCTTCATTGACTCTTTAGTAGTTAAGTAAAACTAGTAAGCTTGTAAGCTACTTACAATTAAATATTAATTACAAAATATTAATAATAATAATTGATATCACTATAATATTAATTGTGGTATGAGATACGTGATACGTCGTTTTTCGCGGGTAATATTTGTTATCAAAAGTCGTATCTAAACATACATCTGTTTTCGTTGGTAATCACATTATCGGTGCATATTAATTAAATTGTTTTTCTAAGCTCTTTGGATAGCTAGAGATACGACCGTTTTCGTGGGTAGTAAAGAAAATTATTCTTTATTCGAATACAGTCGTAACTCGAAAATGAAAAAAAGTGAGATACGACCTTTTTCGCTGCGGCAGGCGATTTGTCTTAATGTATTTGTGTGTATATTGGTGCATACCAGTAGTAATAATCTTTTATTTCTTAACAAAATATAGGTATCTGAATAGATAGTGTAATTACCTTTCATATTACATAGGAATACTATATATATTACGCATATTATGTACATGTTTCTTTTTTTTAATTCAATAAATTACACTACAGTCACAAGATTATCCTATAGAATAGCTACTCGGTCACACAATTGTTGAATAGAAGTGAAGTTCAAACGTTTATCGATGTCAATCGAATCAGCCTATATCGACACCTCTATATTGCTCGGCCTACAACACACTATGCTGTTGTGTGTTATTATTATTGAATTTTCATTTAATGTTAACTCTATTAAATTGAAATCAATATAAATCAGGCAATATATCATAAAAATTGTGAAAAATTGTAAAAAATAAAACTCAATATATTAATTGATATTCATAGCTATTCTTTTTACACAAGCTGCATATCTACATTGAGGTATACTGCTGTAACTAAATTCTACGATTAATAAATCCTAAATTCAGTGTCTGTAATAGTAACACATACTAATGTCATGTAAATTTCTTTAATTATGATTATTAAATCAAATTAATAAATTGATAACTAACTTATATATAAAAACATAAATAAAACAAGACCTCATAATATTTTAATAAACTCATGCACCTACATTATTGTATAATTTGGTATATTAGTGTATACCAGTAGTAATAATCTGTTATTTTTTAGTGTAATTAGTAATTACCTTTTATATTATAAAGGTATACTATATATATATTATGCATAATGCATATATACATGTTTCTTTTTTATAAATGCAACAAATTACACTACATGACTTTGAGTTTTTGGGTTTTGTACTCGGGAGTCACAAGGTTTTTTCCTATAGAATAGCTACTCGGTCTCACCATTGGATGCTCATGATGGTAGTTAGAAATTCAATTGTAGAATAAAAGTGAAGTTAAACCTTTGTTGACGTCGATCGAATCAGCCTAGATTTACAGCAACTGTTACTCTACTAA